TAGTACGCTAGGATGCTGCTGGCTGCTTGTACTGCCAAAAAAATAACCTGCACCATCCAGATGTGGTCACCAAATGGAGGTCTTGGGCAGCAGGTAGAGCTACATTTCACTCATGCAGGATGTCATGGGAAAGAAGTATCTTAGGAACACAGGGTGACTCTAAAAGTCACAATAGTTTGAATATGGTCATTTGTTGCACAACCCTATTCTGGATGTTGACACCTCTCAGCTGTAGCAACAAAGTGCGTGTGCTAGTGCTTATCACTTCACATATTACTTCAGTATACACCAGTTTGTTTTTCCACAGTGGAGAACCCTCCAAACCAGAGATGTGGTATTATGGCACTGGAGAGGGCTAGTGGGTCCATGCATCTCGAGACTGCTGTTCCATGTCCCTTTTTAGGTGTCCCAGAAATCCACACAGAGCAGGCAGGCATGACACAGGAGACCAGCATCCTTCTGGCCTGGTTGCTGGATACCAGATGAGATATCCAGAGCATCTAAAACAGCACTGGGATGATAGGTTCAGGCAACCAGATCCCACCAAGGATGTCGTGTGTTGGCCAAGCCCATAAAGGTGTGCTGGCTGCAGGCAGCACTTTAACTGAAGCCTGCTGTCCGGTCTTCTGGTCCTTCTTGTAGTCTTCGCCACTGTTACATCAGGGCTAACAACAGTGGTGCCAGGCCCCCACGGAGTTGCCCTCTTAGGGCAGATACCTGCTGTGAGCCACTGCTGGGGCTCAGATTCAGTGAGAGGCAAGGGTCTCAGTCCAGTGTCCACATCTGCCAGCTGCCTGTCAGTGATACTCTTCAAGAAAAGACCTGTTCAATATTTGGAGCTTCGGAGAAAGCCTTCTTGCTTCTATTTTTTTGGGTGAGACAGCAGCTCCTCATCATTCCCTGCTTGGCAGAGCAGTTATGGCAGTTAAGGGTGGAAACAGCTCAAGGTGCTGGCTTGCAGTTTGTCTTGCAGCATCATACTATAACCCGTAGCAATTCAGGATTAAAATACCCATGCAAGGCATGACAGGGCAGGACATGCCAAGCAAATCTGCTTCTGCATCACATCCCTATGTCAGTCAGCCCCTCAGAGTAAGTGTATGGGGAGCACGCAGATGCTTGGGAACTCACCTGGGATATTGTCTTAGCAGCAGGGAGTAAAGCCTGAGCTGTGCATGTGAGTATTTACCCTGCTCTTCAGGTGCTTATCCTGGTCACCCGGAGCTCCGCATCGCTGTGGCTTCCCTGTGAGACAGATCTGACCTGGTTAGTTTGATGATTTCTCAGGTTTCTCTGTAGCCTGCTAGCCCAGAATCTCGCTAGCTTGCTGTAGCAGAAAACAAATAACTAGGGGAGTAGCTGTTCAAGGCAAAACTGGGTCGACAAACATTTACGCTCAATTACCACGTCACCACTTTGTCTCCACAACTACTGTGAGTGCACAACTACAGTGAATGTTGTGAGAATAACCTGAATTAAGGTGACCTGGTAACCTGAAGCCTTTGCTTCTTGTCTGAGTGCTTCCTGTGGTGTTACCGAATTTATGCTCTGCACAGTTATGACACTGTGACTGAGTGACTTGGAGTTCTAATGACTGCTAATGACTGTGCTTTCCTTCTCGATTTTTGCTCTTCTCTTCACCTTGATCAGAAGCACATCTGGCCTTACAAAGTATTTAACTCCAGCCCCAGTTCCTCCTCTGTCTTTTTACTGAGGGGCTGATCTTGTTATACGTCGCTAATGGCATCAACCTTGGTGGGTCTGTGAGGACCTGTAAGTGCCTGAAGGGTGCTGGGGAGTACGATATCCTTCCACTGAGGTGCCCGGTGTCCTGACGTGCCAAGCCATGCGCTTCAGTGAATCTCCAGTTAAAATGGCACAGCGCAGAGCAGCTTGGCAACTTCTAAGGGGTGCACAGTTTTCAAAACACCTGCCCCCTCCACCTTTTGGGGAGAAATGTGTGTGCGTGTAAGTGCTGTAGAGGCAGAGGGTGGGTTGAGGATCACAACTGCACAACCTCCAGATTGCAACCGGTTTTTCACAAGTGCAAAAAAAAATCCCTCTCTGTTCCTGTCTTACACATCTGCATTTTCTCTTTCAGAACCTCTGCTCGCTTCTTCCTTTGGGTCCCTCCATGCATATATATCTGATTTGTATTATCCCTTTGTTTGAATTGTAAGCACTTCAGAGCAGCAATCAACTCTCCCATCTGTGTCTTGACAAGGGACTTACATGATAGGTTGGCTTAAAACCACCCATCTGTGACTGAGCTATCTTAGGCTTTTGCAAGGAATGAACTGAATGAAGTAAAGTTTTCTTCTGCTCCGAAACAATCTGATCCCTTTGCCAGCCTCAATTATTTTTTAATAATTATTTTATTATTTAAATATTGAGGACAGAAGGGGTAGCTTGATTTTTGGTTTCTCATCTTTCCAGGCACTATTGGTACGCACATTTGCATGTACATACGCAGATGAGAGAAACTCATACTTCATTACATGAACATATATATATATATACACACATGAAGGAAGAAATTAATTTTCTTGGTCACTGCAGCAGGGGCTATAAGGCAATAAAAAAAAAAGTTTTGTGAGATGATACACAGTAAAAATCACTAGAGTGGGCAACTCTTTAGCTAAAAACAGTTCTCTGTGGCCCCTCTGGCTGGGCTCTGAAGTATGTCCCTCCATGTAGTTTGTCTCTCCCCTGTCTGTCTTATGCTGTGATGGGAAGTCTACCTTCATGGAAAATGAGTCTATCAGGTTTCAGTAGTCTCCTGACAAGCCAAGCATAAAACAAAAAGAGCTGCCGCTCCGTGCCTGCTCGAGCACTGCTGGCTTCTGGGAGCTGATGATGAGGGGCTCAGGGGTGACCAGGGTGCTGTAAGGAATTAAGCACGTGATCATGGTCAAATACCAGAATGTGCCTGCCCATGTTACGGTAAGAGTACAGAACCTGCAGTTGTAATTTTTAACTGAAGTACTTGGCTTGGAGGCAAAGCTGGTGTTTGCCACAATCAAGCCAAGTTCTGAATTACCAAGGCTCAAAACAACATACTTTGCACCTCTAGATGACATTTTTCTTCCTGACCGAAATGTTGTAACAGTCCCAGTCCTGTTCAGTGGGGAAGATAAAATGCATTACACGTTAATGGGATTTGATGGAGTGCGAGCTCATGTCCCCCAGTGCTGCCAGGGACAGAGTGAAATTCGCTTAATCATTTTGTGAGTCAAGGATCAGTTTTGTAGCAGCACTGTGCATATAAGCCTTCTACAAGTGGACACGAGTTCTCATGAGGAAAAAAATTGTTAATTCCCATGATAGATCAGTGTCTTCTGGACCTTAAATATTAATTGAAAAATCAAGGTCGGAGAGCACCTGGCACTTGGCTTTGCTCTCTTTCCTCTGTCCATGGCTTTGATCATGCTACATCTTTCTTTGTGCCTGGTACTCAAGAGAGTTCCCCAAGGTCATGGCCTGTTTCCTAGTCAAGAAGTACAAACCTGCTGGCTTTAGTATCTGAGACCCAGTCTTTAGCCGGGGGTGGGGACATGAGGGGAGAGGGGGAGCATTTGCTTCATGCTTTTCACATTTCCCACATAACCCAAAGCAGACTAAACAAAACCAGTGTGAAATCTCATGGCTTGATGCTGCTATGGTTATATTTTTTAAGCTGTCATCCATTCATTTATACTTCTGTTTATTCCCTGGATTTACAGCTTTTTGTTTCAGCTTTTTCTTGCAGGGAGGTGGCGGGGGGAGGTTGAAACCTTTTGAAAGGGGATTGCAGTGAGCAGTGGCCTATGATTAAAGCCTAGTGTTTTTCCTTGATGCCGCTCCTCCACAGCGGTGTCACACATGGTAGCATTTAGGAGCCCTTCACAGCTGAGGTGTTTCAAACACTAATGAATGGAAGTTTGGTCATATAACGCAGGCAAGCTTTAAGGCATGCTTTGCTGAATGGTGTACTGTAGTGGCCTGGGAAAGGAAGAGAGTTATAAATTGTGTCAGTTAGCCACCCAGACAAAATGAAGCCATGTGGAAAATCAAATCTATTAAAGTATGAAGACTGTTATAAGCTGTTTTAAGCTGGTCATTCTTAAAAGATCTCAGTTGGCTGAAAGGGATAAATTCCTCTTCTTCCTAGATCTTTTTCACGTGCTGTCTTAGGCGATGATGTGCAGCGTTTGATAAAAAAACAACTTTTCACTGACAGCTCCTTTTATCAGAAATGTTTATTGCCCTCAGTTTACCACCCGTGTCCTGAAAGGTACTGCACATTTGTTAAATAAGCAGCGTAAGAGCATCAGGCCTGCTGAAGGCAAACATGAAAGCAGCACTAGGGTGGAGGAGGACAGCCGACGAGGCAGAGAAGGCTTCCTAGAGCACCCACTTACTGTTGGGTGCCTGCTCAAAATGCTTTCTGTTTTCTAACTTCCTGTGTCTGTTGACTGTCAGAGGCCCATGGCAGAGCATTACTTTTTCATGGCAGCCCCTGGGTGCGTGGCAAGGCAAAGTAGGGGGATCAGTGAGCAGAAGACCTTCCACTCCTCCTCAAGGTGGCTTCTTGAGATGTCACAGCAGCAGAAAGCTGGGGAGGGACTTTTTAGGATATCAGGTAGTGATAGGACTAGAAGGAATGGATTAAAGCTAGAGATGGATCGGTTCAGATTGGACGTTAGGAAGAAGTTCTTCCCCATGAGGGTGGTGAGACACTGGCACAGGTTGCCCAGAGAGGTGGTGGAAGCCCCATCCCTGGAAGTTTTTAAGGCCAGGCTGGATGGGGCTCTGGGCAGCCTGATCTAGTGGGGGCTGTCCCTGCTGATGGCAGGGGGTTTGGAACTAGATGATCTTTAAGGTCCCTTCCAACTCTGACAATTCTGTGATTCTATGATTTTGTTACCTGAGGAGGTAATTGTCATCTGAGAGAAGATTGAGGTGGCAGCCCAAGACACATGGTCGCCACAGTATTTACTTTTTCTGTTTGTGTATTCTAGGAAGAGACTGAAGAAACGTCCTCACAAGAGTCTGCAGAGGAAGACTAGGAGACCACACCATGCAATTTCTACCTCATCAGCAGTTGGGTCTTTTGAAGGGAGAAGACACTGCCTTGACCACTTATTTTCTATTGCCATGGTCTTTCCACTTTTGCCTGGGGGAGAAAAAAAAGATCTCATAACCTTAAAAAGGATTTGACTAATCATCTTCTTTGTAATCCCTTCACAGTCCCAGGTTTAGTGAAAAACTGCTGTAACACAAAGGGGACACAGATTAACGATGCAACTTTTAATTACTGTTTTCTTTTTTCTTAACCTACTAATAGTTTGTTTGAGCTGCTAAGTAAGGGTGAATGGGTCAAGAAGAGCTCCGAATCAGGTTTCTGTCATTCACTGCACTGCATATAAACAAGAAACTTGTAACATAGTCATTATAATGGGCATTGAAATAGGAAAGGTTGGGTGTGTGACACCAGAGCCTTGCAACACTTCCAGCAACCCACTCCCTACTTAGTGAACTCCCTGTTTTAGAACACCAAAGATAAGGGATAGATACTACTCTTTTTTTTTTTTGTAACCTTCTTGTAGACTTGTACTTGAGTTTGGTTTTTTTTATTTGAAGACTTACTGTTACTTCAGGAAAAAAAAAAGAAAGATGATCTTTCATTTCATTCAGCTGGTAATCAGAAGAAAGAAATCAACACGAAAAAGTTACTTTCATTTTGCAAAAGGGAAGAAAGACAAAGATACGTTGTATAGTTAGAGATACAAACATATCAGCAGAAGTAGTAAACATATCAGCAGAAGTAGAAAACAAAATGAACAGCCCTCATCTTCTGTACAATAGGAATCCAGAGCGAGTTGGCTTACTGTAGAGCCAGGCGTTTTCTATGGAAACAGAAAATGACTGACATCAAACAGTCTTATGCCATTAATTACTACGTCTTTATCAGGAAAAGTGTTTTGAAACATACAGAAAGGTACCTCAAAATTAATCACAATCTATCTGAACAACAAAAAAAATGAGATATTTTACTTAGTTTCAACTAATTCCACTTCCCCCATACCAGTATTTCAAAAAGAATCTAAACTCTCCTCCTTACTTGTTAGTCATGATATAAGAACCTCATGTACCTCAGCTAAGCTCGTGCATTACTTTAAGCAATGTATCTTGACATAGGATGGTTCACTGAGCACCCCTGTGCCAGTGGCATTTCTCCATCTTTTCATTCAAAGCAGCACTTTTAGCACCAGATGCAATATTACCCCACTATTCAATACTACCTCTGATTTTTACAAATGACTCAACAGACTGATAAATACATGCTGCTATACACATTCAATGCAGGAAACTTTTACTGGGTAGATAATCATGAGTATCTGCATTTTCCCCTTATTTCTACTTCAACACTTAATTGCAGTTAAGGAAGCAATATCTTTATTGTGTTTTGGCATGACTATGTATTTTTCTTTCTCTTTTTTTTTTTTTTTAAATATACTTAACCCTATTCTCTGCTAGATTTCTGTGTAATGTACTGTTAACTTGAATATATTTTTGTACTGAAATGCTGATAGGTTTGTGAGGATAATTTTCTTCAATGACACTACATGACATAGAAAAAAATTTAGCTGTAATGTTTAAATATTACTGTCCAAGTTTGTACCTCAAATGAATTGTTTAAAGAAATAGACTAATTGATTGACAAAGACCTACCTCCAGACTTTAAATGGAATGAACTTCTTACTTTCAGCATTAGTTCTGAAACGTTTGAAACAGTTAGGACTGCAACTAATCCCTGATTCAAAACTATTTTTGTAAAATAACTTGTGGAAAATGAACACATTTTAAATTACTTTCATATTAAAAAAAAAATGAACAAAAAAAAACCTTCAAAGAAACTTGAAGCTTTGTAGGTGGGAAGCAACAAGCTCAGCTTTTGCATAATGCAATCACAAATATGTGTTTTTAAAAAAATAATTAGTAGATTGTAAGAAAATACTTGACAAGTATTTTCGTGTATTTTACACAAATGTGATTTTGTAATATGTTTCAGCCAGATTTATTTTAAATGCTTCTTATGTAGAGTTTTTTTTATTCTCTCTCTCACTTTTGTTGTTCTTTCTTTCTCTCTCCCCTCGTATTTGGTTTCCTCCATTTCTGTTTTACTTCTCTTCTCCCTCTCTTTCCTAGTCAGTACTTTGTACCATTGTATTAATAACTGGGCCAGGGGTAGTTTCTCAGGAAGGTGTCTGTTGGTATGGCTTTAGTACCGAGCCAAATGCAGTTCAAGATAACTACATGCTGGCTTCTTCCAAGAGGCAGTGTCAAGAACTGCGGACCTCCTTGAAAGCCCACAGAGGGTTAGGTGACGGAAATCGCTGAGAAAGAGCCGATCAGAGTATTACAACTAGACACGTTAATATTGAGTGGAAGGGAAATAATCCTAGCTATACAGTAGCTCCAGCAGGCCAAATCCAGTGTCACTTGAGGCGGTAGAAGGAATTCTGCTGACTTCAAAGGGCATCGAATAAAGCCTTAGCAAGTCCCTTTAGGGGGCTGAGTTCATTAGGTTTTTTTCATTGTTTTTTTGAAATCACAGTATTCAGTGGATGACACAGAAATAATCGCTGGATGTGTGTCACACTTCAACCTCCGAGAGACTTACCACTCTGATGAACTGAATCTATCTTTTCTATATATTGTAGTACAATCAAAACACATTACTACCTCTTAGGGCCTACTATACCTCATTTTTTCAGACTGAAAAATTGCATTTGGCCAGTGAATCAGTGAGAACATCATAAAATTTTTTATATATATAGTTTATTTTTGTGGGAGATAAATTTTATACGACTGTTCTTTGCTGTCATTGGTCACTGCTAACTAAAACTGGACATTTAACTCTTCTACCATTTCTGCAAGAGAGGTGTGTTTGCAGGAAAAAAAAAAAGCTTCACGATGTTTAACTACAGTTTACTTTTTCTTTTGAGTGTCTTCTAACTTTTTGCTTTGTTCTTCGTGTAGAGTTGCTGTCTATGATTGTACTTCAAATCGCTTGCTTGTTGAAAATGTTCCTTTAATGGATTATCACAGTCTGTTCAGCACAATAAACATAATAGCCTCTGTGATCCCCATGTTGTTTGATTCCTAGACTTTTGTCACAGTTCCATAAAATGGGTAATAAAGTTTGGTCACAGTGACCAAATTTGTAAAAGTTTTGCATGCAAGTAGTCTTTTTTGGTCCCAGGACCACAGGCGTGTGCTGGAGAAGAAGTGCATTTGTTGTTAGGGGCTCCAGGGGTGGCCACTCAGCAGAGGGACACGTCTTACAAGGCTCTCCGAAAGGTGAGGTCCCTATTCCTAGCCTAGGACTCACTGTGCTGAGCTAAGGGCTAAGGTGTGCACTTGGGAACAGCGCTGGCCAGGCTGAAATGGGTTTTGTTTGCCCAACCTGAGACACACTTGTCAGGGGTCCACCTTCTCCTCTTTTTAGGCAAGATCACAGTTTGCATCTAAGCTTACAGAGTTTCCATAATGCAGCCGTTCGGTTAAACAGAGCAAGTTCTCAGAGCTGCAGAGGCAGTGGCACAAATTTAGAAGCTCAGCAAACTCTGTATTGAGACTTAGACCCCCCTCAAGGTCATCACTGGTGAGTTGGGCTGGATTTATCTGATTTCTTCTCTTCATTTTGTCGTGCATGATCTCCTTGGCTGTTAACAGTAAGATTTAAAGATTGTGGTGCGTGTCCGTTGATACATCTTTGCAACCATGCCTCTTTCACCTGAGGTGAGTGTTCAGGTATTAATTCCTCAGATGTTTAGGTTTACAGATGCTTTGTGCTCGTTCATTTGCAAACTCTCCACCTAATCTGTTTTGGCCTGGGAACTTCTAATTTCCCAATGGCCTCATGGCATGTTCCTTTTAGACTCGGTTACTTGTAAAATAACCAAAATATAATAATCACCAAAAAAGCATTGAATAGTAATACCCATTCATCCCTGAGTCAGAGATGTGAGTAATTGCATTAATCACGTTACGTATCCTCTACTTTCTCACCCTGCTTGGTGGCATTGTAGGATCCTTCCCCTTTTCAGTCTTCCTGGTGGTCTTCTTCCCTGTGGTTGCCATCACTCGTCTCTTCCTGTTATTTTATCTGATGTGATGTTCCAGCTGTAACCCACCCACCTGATGGATCAGCCAAGTGGATGAACTTCTGCTACCCTGTGCTTAACTCCCCTCTACGTCCTATTAGTCATTCTTCCAGCTTGCTTCACTCCCACTTCCCTTCTCGGGGCATCTTCCAATAAAATTCTGCACACTTTATGCCACAGTTGGACTATTTGTGTATATAAAACTAATCAGCTTCTGCAGGATCGAGGTCTGCATTTGTCTGGCAGCCAAGAGTGCTTTATCCAAGATGCATGTGGCAAGAGTCATAATAAGTTCGTGCTTTTGCTTTCCACTCCCATCACATCCATACAAAGATGGGGAATTACTGAAAGCTGGTGCTGCCAGTGCCTAGCACAGCAACTTAATTGTCTGTAGTTTTTTTTAAAACCAAAACATCTGGTCTGGTCATCATTAGAGAAAGGATCCAGCACAACGGCAATGACGTGTTCCTCTGAGCACAAGAGAAGAGTTAAATTTGTCACACCTCACACTTCACCTGAAGCCTGCCTGAAGTGGTGTTTCTCACCCCAACACCTCTGCCTACATGGACGTAGAATTTCTGTCTCTCAATTCATTCTTTTTTAGTCTCCCACCATCTTCTTGATCAAAATTTTTAAGTGTACCAAAGCCCTTTGGCATATAGCTTTTAATACAAATAAAGGTCCGATTGCCATATGCCTTCTTGATTCAGGAATAATACCCACTGAAAGGGAGGTTGTACCAATTGAAGGGAAGTTATATAGAGGCTGAGGCTGGTCTGTTCTCCCTCGTGGAGAGTGATGGGATGAGGGGAAATCAGTTTAAATTGCACCAGGGGAAGTTCAGGTTAGATATTAGGAAGAATTTCTGTACTGAAAGCGTTGTCAGCCATTGGAACAGGCTGCCCAGGGAGGTGGTTGAGTCACTGTCCCTGGAGGTGTTTAAGAGACGGGTGGATGTTGCATTGGGGGACATATTTTAGTAGGTTGATAGGGCTGGGACAAAGGCTGGACTTGATGATCTTCCAGGACTTTTCCAGCTGATACGATTCTATGATTCTGTGAAACTTTATTACATCTGCTTGCTCAGTCAAACAAATGTCTGCCACTGTGTGTTACATGCATTGTCTGAAAAATACAGACATCCTTGCTGTCTGGACGTTTCACAGCCGGCACAATCAGTGTGGGTTAATGCTGTGTTCCTGCCTGGCTCTCAGACCCACAGGCTGTGTGC